TACCAGAAAAGGTAAGAAGGTATCATATAAAAAAGGAAATCTAAATAAACCAAACTCTAAAATAATATTTAAAAGTTTGTATCAGCATACAGGGATAAACCTATGGTGGTATGAGGTGTCAATGACGAAATTTTATGTCCAATCTTGCATAAGTAGATCTCTTGTCTTGCATGTTTGAACATGTTTTGCAGTAAATGCAAATTTTGCATTACGCTTTGGGGAATAAATGTTATATATAGTCAAATCTTATGAAACCCTCTACAAATTGAGCGTATTGAGGTTCATTAAATTATCAATTGAGATGGGGAAACCACGAAAGTGCGTATATTAACCAAATTATGTGTGAAGGATGAGATGCTTTGTGTAGCTTTGTTACTGAATAAGAACAGGTGTTTCATTAGTCAGGTACTTTTATTAAAAACAAAATAATTAAGAACGGCTCGTGCATTTTAGAACCATAAAAGGCGACTTTTATTTCTATGCGAGCACTTTAACCACTCAGCTATCCAGCTGGAGAAAATAGTAAAATAGTATATAAAGTATAACATTGAGATGTTTACCTTCCAGAGCTACAAATGAAAACTTGTTTACAGTATCTTTTTCTCAATCCCTTCTGCAAATGAAAAAAGGTAAAGGCGAGTACTTGATCGCAACAGGACTTAAATCTTTTTTCTCAACTGGTATTTAATATCTAATACGAAGAGCATTATATTGTATTAACCTTTCCAACATATAATATTCAACGCTTTGGGATCACGCTGAGGATCTTTTTTTGGATTCAAATACATTGGTTTCTTATTCTGTTTGAGTGTAATGGGTCACGTGTTATTATCCGCTGTTTTTCTGTTGATAGATCCCTCAACGCAGTTTCTATCTTGCTAAGCACATTAGTCAAACATTTATCAAAACATACGAGAAGATTTCTTTTTTCCTAGGACCTTAGACACAAGCCCGGGATGTGTTTTCACATTACCTCAGGCTAGACCTAAGGGTTCTGGCAATATAGCTTAGATAAAATCCATTGGTGGTTTGGCGGGATTTAAACCCGGGACCTCAGGGACCAAAGTCCTGCACTCCGGCTCGCTCCCCTGATACGAGATGATAACAAGTTGTTAGTGATACTCGTATGACGTCATCAAGGTGGTTGTGGTATAATCTTTGACATTTATCATTGGTTTTATCCAATAGTGTACAATCATTCGTCAATACACACGAGATTATGACAATGTTTATTGTCCTCATATAACTTCATGACGTTTCTTGGACATCATTCAATGGATCATTTCCGACAATGTATAATAATTCATCAAAACACACAAGTTTATACTTTGCCTGTCTTTCTCGTTTGTAGTCATCAAGTAAGTTCCATAGGAAGTTGTGGTTTAATATTTGAAATTCGGGGAGTAGTTGTATTCCGATAATGTACAACCATTCGTCAATACATAAGTGTAAGACATTGTTTGTAGTTTTACAGCAACATACATCGGGTAGTATAATATATAAGTTTATAATGACGTATATTCCCTGTAGAAGCAATCATAAATATTATATCACTTTTTTTCCAACAACGCCCTGTACAGTCATTGGTCAATATACACGATGTTATACATTGTCACGTGTACACGTTGTTTGTGATGTTCTCGTATGACGTCATCAAGTAAGTTCCAAAGGGAGTTGTGGTTTAATCAGTAATGCACAACAAACGGGCATCCTGGACGTCCTGTCAGTGGTTTCCTGTCTCCTGTTCAACATCCGCAGTCTGCCATCCTGACGACATACTTACCTGCCATACTAATGTTAAATCATTTCAGCTTACTTATAATACATTTTTATTGTAGGTTTCTGATTGAATTATTATTTTACAAACCATTAGTGTAATACATGTGGTACAGCATGAACCTATGTTTACTTTTTTCAAGGAATTCAAGGAACTAAATATTTACGAGTTACATAAACGCATACATTATCCCTAACCTAAAGTATTCAAATGCAAATACCTTAAAAATATTATTTATTAAATATTTAAATTATCGTATAAAAATACAAGTTCTGTATTTAGAGCAAGACACAACAAACCGTCCGTTAATCCGTGTTTCGTTAATGGAGTTGGTAAATTAATTAACTATTTGTCTATAATAAAAATAAAGCCATCGAAGTTAAAATTACAATTTTTAATCGAGTTTTTGGCTCAATTATACACGATGGCAAATATACAGTAAGCTTACACACCTAATCTTTTATAGAAATTACGCTATGGTACTGTCTAACCGACGTATTTATTTTTTATCTCAACACGCTATATTTAAGTTTAGAGTGAATATAAATATTATATAGGAACTTTTCATAAAAAATAAACACACTCAAAAATTAAAGAAATTAGTAATAAATTGAACAATCAATTAACAAAAATACACCCGAAAACATAGATAGTGATATTTTTAAACCAACATTAAAACCATCAATCGACAACCCAAAAATTAAAACTAGACCACAAGATTTAATAAAATACTGTATATGTTTTTATGAAACGGATTGAAATATAAAGACTTATTCAGTTGTTTTTCAAGTTACGAATTTACAAACAACTCATCCCTCGGCAATCAGAATCGAGAAAACTAATTAAATTCATTACGGTGTATATTTACACAACTACGTAAGTTTTTAAATATCTGTAAACAGTTTTTAATCACAGAAGAGGTCCACAAACAGTGTTTTCTCTGAGCCCCGTTATCTCAGCTCGCTGAGTCCTTTGTGTTGCTGATAGCTGCGAGTGACGTCACATCTACCTTGGACTTACCTTACAAAGAGAGCTATCAAACTCTTAAAATCATTGGCCGTAAAACTTTAAATGTACAGCAGTTGGAACTTTGAAATCACCTTTTTTTCACGACGAATATTTCTATGTCTTGAAAATACAAATATCCACGGTAAACCATGTTACGTTTGAATATTCTTTGATTTGTCATTTACAATTTACTCTGTAAATAATTCACGGAAATAGACTACCATTTGTAAATATTCCTTTGAACAACATAACTATAGATATTAAGAATTATTACCAATAGAATTATACAATCTATGACAAATAGATTCAATTCCAAAACCATAACTTTGTCTACGAATTTTATTAAAATATTGCTACATAGTGCTTCTTGTAAGATGATTCTCAATACAAATATACTTCCTAACTCCTCTCATTTTTACTTGATGGAAGTCACACATTTTAAGGAGATTTTGAACCACTAGCACACGACAATATAAATTTATTAATATATTTTTAAATTAACTTAAGAATAAAACATAACTGCTGTCGATATTTTGAAAAAGTAGGAATTGCCATAAATCCACAACGATGAATCTCTTTTATAATATTTTACCATAATACATCTCTTACCATCTCTTTGTTCTCATAATACCAAGGTTAGTATTTAGAATACTACTAACTTACAAAAAGGTAAATGCTCTTAAAGGTAGCGCTATGAAAATTAAATAGCGTCTTCAGGGAAAGAGTCTATAAAGTGAGGGAATTCTTAAACAAGAAAGGGTTGTTTTTACGCTGTCTTAACAAATCCTATTAAAGCATTTAAACAGTCACACAGTGTTCTTGACGACGGCTTTACTTTAATAAACTCTTTGTAAGCTTTCAAAAGTCTTCTTGGATCCAAGCACAACAGCTGTTTTCTTTGCTTGCTTTGATTATGATTTCAAAGCTAATTTTGCTCTTAAGTTTTATGCCAGAGTAAATATGAAAATTCTGGTTTGCAAAACACCATTATGTACTTAGTTGGTGAAATAGTATGACAGTAGGAATATACCCTTAATAATTTATAATCTGAGAATCGTAATGCATTCGCTTAGTTCCATCTAAAATGCAAAAATGTAGTTGTTACTGCATTATAATAAAAGTAGTAAATTTATCAAACCTGAACAGTTAAAAACTATTATATATTTTTACATAACTGTAGGCTACATATTCACTCATAAAGTATATTCACCATTATTATCCTTGACCTCATATTAATCATAAATGGTTATTGAAATTTACCACAAGCCCTTCGCAGAGTGTAAAAACTGCTACACAACGTTCAATTGAAACTACCATTATGTCTCTGTCACGAAAAACCATTCGGTTGGCTAACACCGGATTTTACTTTATGTAATGATTTACTAGTTTTCAGTAACTTCTCCTTTTACAGTGTGTGACTTCACCCTTTCATGCAATCTACCTGACGTGAAATTTGGATTGAGGATTGAGTTATGTCTTAATGTGGAAGCGTATTTATAAATTTAGTTGAGTAAAGTTTAGTAGTTTAGTTTCAAGATTCTTTGGTAATTACTAAATATAAGTTAGGAATGTGATTAGTTCTATGGATTGAATTTAGTTTAAGTTACAAGAAAAAAGGAACACTTATTTCATCCAGTTTAGTTTTTCATTCCCAAAGGTCTTAGTTTATTTACAATCACCAACAAAAATATCATCTGTGTTATAAAGCATATGAAAATAAAAACATTTGTTATGTACAGTCTTATGGCTTAGCCACACTACCACTTTAACTATTCTGATAGCTTCCGTTACCTGTTGTAGTCGAACAATCATAATGTTTCTCGTATGTGGAAGACTGCATGTAGTGTGGTTCAACTTTTAAATTTTAAATAACATCTCTAGCCATTAAAAAAAAAAAAAAAAAAAAAAAAAAAAAATGCCATCCATCTAAGAGTTATTCGTAGCACTACACCAAGCTGTACCCTACCATAAACAATTTGGTCGTTTTCGTTCACGTGTTGTACCGTGAGGTATATCAAATATTTTATCCAGCTTTAAAAGTTTTTAACTTTGCTAATATTTACTGAAATAGTACACTATTCATATATTTGGACACCCTAAACTGTTCATAGCTTTTACACATTCTAAATTATGTGTTTAATGTTATTATCCTTTCTATTTTTCCTACAAAGTATCCAGCTACCCACAATAAATAGGGTTTCTTCTCCTGTTCCAGGGCATAATGAAGATGAGTAAGGTGGGTAACCAGACCAACTCGCAGGACCCCCAGGCTGTCAATTCCAGAGTGTTTGTGGGAAACCTCAACACCTTCCAATGCAGCAAGACGGACGTGGAGAGGATGTTCCAGAGATATGGACGCCTTGCTGGTAAGCCTTCGCAACAAATACCCTCTAGTAGCTTCTATATTAACAAATAATTATAACTTATTAGTATGTTTAAGAGTCCGTTTAGTGGATTAACTCTGGTTCATCGTTTTGAGGAACGTAATCATACGTTGAAAATTCTAGTTGTAGGTAACATCTAGGTACATGAAAATGTAAAATGCAAGATGTAAAGGTAAATAGATTTATTTAATTTTCGGTACTTTTGCGAATTTATATTCAGGGAAATATAGGACAACCTAATATTGCAGTAGTAGTCACCACAAATAAATAATGCAATAGCCCCGTTTTTACAATAGGCTCAAGCCCTTATATTAAGGAAACACAGTTCGTTTAAATTGCTAAGATGCAATTGTACACTACAGATCGAATGAAAATGTTAACTCCGCCTTAGGTTTGAATTTGATTTCCTCATTGAACCAATGTTGTTTATGAAATATTGATCATGAATCTAATTCTAACATTCATTTTAATTCTAAATTGTTAGTATTGAATTATGCAGGAAAATATTTTCAGGTTTCCTTTGAGGGATATCAAACAAACATTAAGGCAGGGTTTTTAAATAGTAATTGAAGACTTGCATCATGCAAAGCCAATAATATTTTTATTTCTCTAAACGAGTAAAAAAAATCTTGTACTGTACCTTACATAGGTTTTATAGTAAAAAAGAAATGAAAAACGAATTATCAGGTTAGTAGACTACCCCTGGAGTGCGTAAATAGAAGATGAAAGCTGATGGAATGATGAAGAAGCCATGAAATTAGTAGGGAGTTACCCTTTAGATCGTCCAGAATGAAAATAAGTGGTTGGCAGTTGCAGCAAGTTAGCGTTTAATGGGTCATTAGACATCTCATCAACTGTATCAATCATATGATGAGAAAAGTACGTTGGATTTTACGCTAGTTTGACTTGAAATCTTCATGAACGCCATCCCTGCTTAATGCCCTTTATTTATAAATACTATGGCATATGTATACAAAACTTCGATTGGCTAATTTTCATGTTACATCTTTTACCAACTTTGGAATTTATGGTTATATCGTATTCTTTTCCGAAGAATTTTTTGTCATAATGCATTTAGTAACAACATACAGTTTATCTAAACTTACAAGAATATATAACACGATTTCACTGTGTACGGTAAAATGTAGATTATATATTTTCAGCTGCAGCTTTATGAGATTCGCCTTTTGTTATAACCAAATGTAAGCGTAAGAATAAAGTAAAGTAACCGTGTTTAAGTTTATAGTAAGTTATAGTATAGCGCATAGTAAAGTACAATGTGAAAATAAGACTATCATTTCAATGTTGAATTGTTGAATATCCTAAGGTCGATAACTGGAAGGACTATTAAAACCAGAAAAAGGTATCAAAATTATATGTGAATTACTTTTGACTCTGGGTCATCTATATGTTATTGGTTGTATACTGGAAAAGTAATAACTATTATGTACGAGCTTATTCTTGCCTGAATTTAAAATGTTTGCCTACAATCGAACACCAGAACAATACATTTTTATAAACAAATAGCATACAATTTATTTCTTGCTTGCGAAGCATTCACAGTCTTGCCATATTTTAGTAGGCCTAACCAATTAGTCATTCATATACTCGCCATGTATTCTCTACTGACAGTTTTGATTCAATTATGTTTTGTCAACGACGTTCCCACAATCGGAGCTTTAGAAACTCTATTAAAACACTCTATAAAATACAAGGTTCGTTAAATATTCCCAGCTCGGTTAAGCGGCATTATAAACACAAACGGTTATCATCCGCAATTCATTCACACCTCCCGGAAGCGCCGCTCAAATCCCGGCGTGTTTAAAACAGCTTAGCGCCTTAGTCACACGTCCCGTCTGCTTTGAAATAACATTCGACGTTCCCGTCTGTCTCGGCTGTTTGAAATATAAATAAGCGACTGGAACAGAATCATGCTGATTAGTCAGTTTGTTTGGGCTACGTCAGATTTTGTCTTTTTTGTGGCCTGGTTTTATTTTGTGAATTCATTTACAATTAACGATTAACGATTGAATAAATTTTGATTGGGAAGCTTATGGCACCCTTTTCAGAGATTTAGTTTAGCATGATGTCTAGCATATAGAAGGAAATGATTAGACATATGCTACGACTTTTTGAAGAGCTTTGATTCTAAATGTTTTCAAGAGTCGATTGAAGTTTCTTAGCTAATACCTATAAAGGTTCGATTTCAAACCCAGATGCAATTTATTATTGATACAGTATTTGTTGGTCCCTTGAAAAATAATGATTTTCTTCAAAACTAAAGTAGAGTAGGATATTTTTACCCAATAATTGACACATAAAGTGAAGGATTAGGTTATGCAAATGGGTGAAAGATTAATTAATATAAATTGTTTTGGTTACCTTGCTTCGTCGAGTGGTCTTTTGTAGTAGGTAGTGCACTAATATCGTTTCGGACTTCTGGAAGCCTCCATCGTCAATCCTAAACTATTTAGCTAAAATTTAGCTATCCAGAGGCTAATATACCGTTAGATTATTTAATATTATTTCTATAATCATTCATCTAATTGTTGAGATGGCATTATATGTGAAATATAAACAAAATAAAATCTATTACTTTGAGATTTCCAAATAATTTGTTTGATGGACATTCAATCAAACATTTATCTATAAAAGTTCAACATATTTTGATAAATTCACATACAATATGTTTCAATTAACTCGATCATTGAGTGTGAGAGGGTGGATGTATCTTATCAACAATATGAATAATTCGAAGACAACAACTTGGAGTTAAATAGGGGAATTAAGAACAAAGATAATCCACCACCTTTGTTTTTTAATTGAATTAAAATTAATACATCGACTAAACACGACGGGTTCTGGAGCTTAAGAAGTTTCGCTGGATAAGCGGCGGACAATGATCTGAGCTTTTGAGGGGGATGGCGGCATTGTGTCTTATCCTCTCGAAAACAAAACTTCTTCAACATCTCTCCGTCCTATCCACTTCAGGACTGAATCAACTAGTGCAATTTTCATGACACTACGGTATAAAAAAATATTATTAATGTAAAGTTAATTTGCAGCCTGAATACACTACCTTTAGGAAATGATTCGAGAAGCAAAAACCACTAGACAAATATCGACTTGTAAATATATATTTTGAAAATACTCCGTAATTGTTCACTTTTATCATAAAATAGGTTGATAATTGTGAGTAGGTAAAATCATTCAAAAAGAAGAAGTGGGTGGGTCCCCTTTAGATGCACAGCATATGTACAACTTGTATTAAAAAGTCACTTTGCTGGAAACATTGTAAAAACAATAAAAATTTTCAAATAAATGCAAATTTTTGAAAGTAGGGCGTTATTTTATTGGTGAAAGGTTGTGATTTTCTGAAAACTCCTAAGAGTGTCCTGTAGAAAATTTAATTCCTGACAATGAAAATTCTTTCAAAATCTTTGCTAGCTCTTGCCACGTTCTAGTTATAGCCATTGAATAAAAACGTTTTTTGTCGTTTTAAAATGTCCACAATTTTGGATTTTTTTGGGGGGGGAGGGGTTAAAATTAAAAAAGGACTTTGGAAATTTTGCGTGAAACTCAAGAACTTCCTTTTTCTAAGCGTATATTGTTCAATCAAATCGGATTTTTTGGTGGGTAACTATGATTTTACAAAATCGGATGATTCTTTTTGAAACACCTTCTATTTGATATTTATATTAGATAAGAGTTTTGAATTAAAGATAAATTATAATTATCAAATGTAAAAATGTTGTTGCAGTTGTTAAAGTAATCCAACTAGTTCCTTCAAATAGAACGCTATAAAGTGGCAAAAGCGAATATATCGTCGTAGCTTATAAACACATACATTACTAGTTATATAGGCTTCTGACGAATGGCTAATGTGGTTTACATTTGCCAGTGAAATACCAATAAACTCACATAATCAACACGTACACCTGCGGCTGTTAAAATAGCTTTACGGCTTAGTCACTCCTTCATCCGAATTCAAAATAACTCAGCGAGTCCAGCTGAACGGGTTGTTTTTAATAAAAAACTCACCAGATTTAGTTTACGGACTTTGTCTTTAAACGTGAATTTGATTACATCTTGTTAACACCACTTTTTGAAATATGTGTTATGAAAAATTAATTGTAATGGTGCAAAACGCTTTTACACTTATTGTTTTAAATATGAAGACATTTAAGAACTATGATTACATAAGGAATTTCAAAATTTTCGACAATCAATATTATTGCTTAAAACTGTGATGATTATTTTTCGTAGGTACTTTGTTGTGTATGTTTTTTATTTGCCTAGTCTCCTTTTTGGCGTGGTGATATAATGATATATTATATCGTTGTTTTGCAGTTGTTTTGGTTTAGTCTATTGTGTATATCGTTTTCCACTCTTATGGACAGTAAAGAAGAAACAAATGTTATTATGATAATTTTGTTAAATATTTATGTTCCTAAATTATTTTAATATCACATTACATAGCATGGCCATTATTACCTACATTTAATTGCACTCAATCTGATGCTTGATCAATAGAGAGCATTTTCAGTTAAATAGTATATATTTTTCAAACGGTTGTCGATGGATTTCAATTCCTAATAAGCATAATAATAACATTCTTATTGCTTGGAGTTTATATCTATTTTCAACTTAATCCTTAGAAATCACCTTTTTCTGGGTGCCTTTGACGTTTGGTAATTCTTTGGTTACTTCTAATTTTATTTTTTTTCAATCAAACAGTTTTCATGGACGAAATGTCATATACATAATTCCCACGTGGTACAGTTTAAATTTAGACAAGGAGTGGTTTCAAACTTAAACGGAGAGAGCCAAATTAGGTAACAGACTGAAGACAGCAAGACATTGGTAGAGACAGTTCGTGTTACGTGTGTGGACAGCACCCCGGGGCGATCCGATACGTCAACAGCACAACACACATACACACATACACACAAACACACGCACACACATGCACACAGAGCGGT